TGTGGATATGATATATATAGGTATATCCCTTCTTTTCTCTTCAGATTACATATGAATTTCAACCCAATTTAGCATATGATAAACATGACAGTTGATTTATTTGCTCTTTACTTTCCATCCCACTATGATTAAACATAATATGATTGACTTATAGCCATCCAGCAAAATGGGGAGTACATTTTTATGGAAATTACTTCAATCTTAGGAATTAAAGAGGAGAGAAAATGGAAGAAGGTTGATGCAGCTTACTTATTTTTTTAAGTGCAACTCTGTTTTGAAAATTATTTTTGTCTGTTCATTAACTTAGGTAAACACACATAGACATACACACAACTACAGTCTCTCACTGGACTGCCCAAGTTTATGAAGGAAATAACAAATATTTTAGAAAATGCTTAAAATATTTAAGGAAATATTTAAAACATTTAAGAAAATATTTAAATTTAAGAAACATGCTAAGATATATGAATTCGTACGAGGAATTGTACGTAGACTACAATACTTCCACTGGAAATCAAGCGTTGTAATAAGAGATAAAATTTCAACATGTGAACTCAGTGTGCACATTAAAAGTGCTAAAATGCACCTTCTCTCACAAAGAATTGAGGAACTGTAAAGAAATAATGGCATCTTGTTTCACTAGGAATTTGCATATTTTGCCAATGCTTATGTAATTAATCTCTTAGAAAATTCCTTCCTAAAGTATGAGATTTCTTATTGGAAAAAATTCAGATACAAGTGGATTGGCATCGAAAGTTGGGCTTGCAAGGGCTCCTGGGTGGCTCAGAAAGTTAAGTGTCCAACTCTTGGTTTTGGCTCAGGCCATGATGTCATTGGTGGTGGGTTCGAGTTCCTCATCCAGCTCCACTCTGACAGCAAGAAGCCTGTGTGGGATCCTCTCTCTCTACTCCTCCCCCATCAAAATAAATAATTAAAAAAAAAAAAAAAAGGAAATTGGTCTTGCAATCTCTTATTTAAACATTTTAAATTCAATTCCTCTTCAGTTACATTTTAGCTACTAGATTATAGGTAACACCTTTTCTTCTTCCTGCAGAAACTGGTGTGTTTACTTTTATGCAATCTGAGGGGCTTTTCAAATTACCTTCAATTTTTACGGCCCTGTTTTCATATCTCGTGTGTGAATTTACTGTGGAGGCCTACCTTCAGCAGGCTACTAGTGAGTTGTGTCGCTTAGGCAAGTGTAGAAAACCTTTGGCCATACGGCTCAGACCTGAATTTCAGCACCGAGGCAAAAGTTTTAAGAGCAAGCCAGGAAATATATCAATATGAAGGAGGCACTTGAACACAAAGCACACTTTAAAAAAATTCATTGAAAATTTGAGAGTATTTTCACAGAAGTAGATAGGATGACAGGTGGTCTCCTACGAACAAATGAGTTCCCGTTCCTGAGAGTTTCCTTTACCTTTTAAAGTATTGATGGGATCGACGCTCAAGGTAGAACTAGGTAAAATTACGATCCTAGAACCTTTTGGGCAATGGTTCTAATTAATATAATTAGTATTGTAGCAAAACATCATCGATTATAATTGAAAGAAATCATCTGGGTCTGAAGGATACCTACTGAGGGCAGCCTTGTTAAGATGGACTCTGAGGTGTGTAAATTAATTTCCTGGATGCGCAAAGCAGGAAAGGGGAGGTTTTCCTTCCTTATGAGACTGGAGGGTTTGGTGTTTGGCCCTGTTGAGACCCCAGGGCTATCTGGGCTGATTAACATATATGTAATTAAAGTGCACCAGCTAGAAAGGGAACCAGTTTTACTTGGCTCTGTACTACTGTGAATAATTTCTTTCTTCATTATTTACCTCCTGTGTATGTATGTGGGAGGTTGGGGGCAGGGGGGATGGTCTAGTTCCCTGGACATCCTTCTGCTGTCTTGTTTAGGATTATTGCTTCCTATTCTAGCAGACACCAAAGAGCAGACAAGCACCAAAGAGTAGACAAGCTTTCCCCTAGCATTCAAACTAGATTTTTCTTTCCGTTCATATCACCATTTTTAAGCCACATTTTTCATCACAGGGTAAGAAACACTGTAAATAATTGAGGTGATCCATCAAGAGACCCATTCTTGATAATGAAAAATTGCATAACTCTGCAGAAGTCAATTAAAACCCACAAACTTCAGACCCCTTTACTCAGCGAAGATTTATTTTTATAGGAGGCATTTAATACAGCAGATTAGGGGGTCAAAAATTTTTAAAGTTCTGAAAATTCAGTTAAAGCTTGACAATCAGTGTAAGATTTATACAGTTTCGAACTACAGAAGTCCTTAGAATGAAATGTGTTTCTTTCCCCCCTTCCTTTTTGAGATACGAGATGTTCAGGGTTTTATGACCGAATCAGAAATGACATCCCACTGTGGGATACTGTTTCATTCCTTTGAAAATTTTAAATGCTTCTTACTCTTTGCTAGTCTCTATACAATGAAAAGTAGATAAACTAAGAGAGAAGGCAAGATATTTTCCCTTGTTAAACCAAATATCCAAATGCTTAGGACTAGATAAATGACTCAAAATGTTTTTGTTGTCTGGGTGTTTGGTTAGGTCACAGCCAATACAATAGCATGTAATATCTTATACATCTCCATGTAATTAAAAAAAATAATGAGTGTCGTTAGAGGTATCCAAACTATGCAAGTGGCCAAGGTGAAAATGCCAAGTCACTAAAATGTAATGTCCCTGATACTTTTCTTCTCTTTCAGTGGTTTTTCATGCCCAAAACATAACATGAACTAAGGAGCAGCATCTATCCTCAAACGCAAAAATACTTAACCATTTGTTTGTAGGTTCATAGTTTCCCTCTATACATTTAAACTGTGCCTAACGGCTTATTCTGCAGTCAGGCCGTGCAGAAGCTTAACTTGAACCAGCAGTGCACATGCGACTTGCTTCCTCCTGGAATTAAATGGCTAAGGAAAAAGGACGGATTGTCCCCTTTATTTAATAACAAAGAACGCAATCGTTCGAATTCTTGAGATTTGGAATTCCAGCAGTGTTTTTCTGTTTTCCTCTTGATGTGTGACAAGAATGAATTATATCAAAAATAAAAATAAACCTCATCTAAACAAGCAGTCCTTTGACTTTATAAGGCTCAACATCAAATATATCAAATTCTAAAAATACCGAAGACCAGTGCAATGTCAAAGCCGAAGGGTAACATGCTGTGGATAGGACAGATTTTTTTAAGCCTTTCGATGCATTTGAACGCACTGGCATTAACTTTGTTCATTTATGTTGACGGTTGTCACTTGAACCGACTACTAGGGACCCTGATATTTCATATTCATATAAATATTTGACTTTGACCCCATAAAAAGTCCCTTGGGTCTATAATACTTTTATTCTTGTATAATCTGAAACAAATCCTTTCCTTTTAAAAATCAAACAGACCACGTTATACACACAGTTGACTAACTATTTACAAAGCACCCAATTAAATCCTACTTAATTCTCTCTCACTCTAAAAATTCCATCTAACTGGTGTGCAAAGTACTGATCACACTAAGTGCATAATGTCCGCAGGCCCTGTATGTCCCACACAACCTAGAAAATACGGACTTTGTTAAAGAGAAAAGAAAGTCTTAAAAAATAAGTAAAGGGTTTTGAAGAAACGAGACCAGAAATCACAGTACAAGACAGATAAATCTACTTTAATATTCACATGTAAAAGTTACACATCACAAGAGATTGGACAGTAGTTTAGCAGTAACTAACATAGCTATAGTGAAAATCATTTTTATAAAAAAATAATCTAGATGCGGTCATCAGAATTTTTTGGTCTACTTAAGTTAATGTTTGAAGATCGACTTTTATCCCTGCTTGAAGGATTTGCCATTATGCCTTGTTTTTTTTCTCCCACTGTTGCCTATTAATATTCTTTGGAGGAAGGAGAGCAGAAAATGTTCATTTCCAAGAGTTTGTCCTTTGGTAGCAAGCAGAGAACAGTTTTCATTTCTATGACTTAAATAATCTGTACAGACATGAAACGCAGTGGCATTAAGCTTTAGTGTAAAATGAAGAATGAGAAGCATTTTTTTCCACTTTGATAAAACAGTAGATTTCATAAACTCCTTAAGGATCCAAGCATTTCCCCATCCCATATGCAAAACCATTCAGAATCCATTTTGACCTCAGCTAAAAAGCAAACACTTACTCTTTATATATTACGCTATCGACCCTGTGCTTAAAAACTGATAAAGTATATTTCCAACAGGTATGTTTCAAATACAAAGATTTCAATCTAGGTTAAAGAAAACACATTTGAATGGACTCAGAACAAGTTTATTTTGTGATTAAACATCTCATGCAGTCATGCTGGACCACTAGCTCTAACTATTACTTCCAAGTCTACACGACACTGGATAAAACCAAAACAAATTAAATGCTAGGCCAAACAGAAAAAGACATTCAAGATATCAAGGGCTCTGCAATGGAGCTGAAAAATAATTTTCCAAAAGAAATAATCCCATAGATTTAAAAAAAACACACACATAATATTTACAAAAAATATTTAATTAAAAATATCTTATAATTACAGTAGTCTATTAAAGCATATACTTTCTCACACTTATAGAACATCTCTATATATACATGGTATGAAATGTCACTCAGTTATCTATACAATATGTAACATTCTTGCAGGGAAAAGAAAGTTCCCTGCCGCCCCCCCCATAATCATCTATTTTAAACAATAGATGTCAAAAAAAAAAATATCTACAATGCTCTGTTATATTAGTAAAGCTTCAAAACAAAATTGAGCTCCTTGGTCACAAAGTAGGTTTCTAAAGTTGATTTACTCTTGATCTTCTATTTATCAGTCCTGTCACACTTAAGCTTAAAAGTTTAACTGCACCTCCAAAAACACAGAAATGCACATTTCACAGCGGTTATAAATGAAGAGACAAAAGAGAATACATATGTAGAATGTTTATGAACGTGCAAAAAAAAAAAAAAAAAAGATGAAAGTTTTATTTTTCTTCCCCCCTCTTGGAATGACGAATGTAACGTTTCTAGGATTTGCTGATTTTTTTTTTTTTTTCCTCTCCTCGGGTGGCTTTTCCTCTAACTTCTGCTCTTTCCCCCTCCCTCTCTAGTGCTCCTGGCTCGGGCTCAGGCGGCCGCACACCTGTGGAAGAGGAATGAATAGAGGGGGTGTATGAACCTCTCCGCTGCAGACTAACGGGCGCCACCGACCGAACTCAAGACATGCTTGATCAACAACCCAAAACAAACCACCGGGTCAGACAACAGCCGCAGCCCGCGGCCGGCCAGGCGACCGGCAGGCAGCTGCTGGCCCGCCCCGCCCAGGGAAGCCCAGATTGGGGGTCCGCTCCCAGGCCCCGCCCGCACCCCACTTTGTGGGTGTCAGACAGCGCGGGCGTGGGTGCACATCGGACAGTCTCCACGCCCACTAGGGTGCCCTCCCTCGGCGGAGAGGAAGGCAGTTAGACCCTCGGGTCACGGGAGAGGCACGGGGGTGGCGGGGATCGCGGGGGACAGGAGCTGACCCATCTCCATTCAGTGTGCACCCCAATTCCTAAAGCGAAGTACGGTGGCACGGAGAGGGGGCATCCGCCTCCCTGGGAGTTTGCCCGCAGAAATGCTAGGGGCGAAGAACACCGCGGTGCCCGGCACCCGCACCCCCGGGACGGGCGTCTCCGGCGACCGGCCCCCCCGGAGGAGGGGGACGCGCGCTCACCTGGACAGCGCGGCTCAGCGGCACAGAATGCTGTCGCCCTGCTTGTTCACCGCGCCAGCCTGGAACAGCAACGGACACCATGGGAAAGGTTAGCAGGCGCAGACGCCGCCCTCGGCGCGGTCCCGGGCTGGCTCTCGGAAACCAGGCTGGCGGCCCCCGTCCCCACCCCAGCCCGCAGCCACGGGGGGTCCTCACCCCCCACCCACCCACCCCCGGCGCAGGCCGGACTGGACAGCCCAGGAGGCGCACAGCCCCAGTCCCGCCCCGCGCGCGTTCACCCGGACCTGCGCTCGCAGCGCGGAGCCCGCCGGCGGCAGCCCCGGACTCCCGAAGGAGAAGTGGGGGGGGGTGCTGTCATTCCCCGCCGCCGGCCCCCCCGCCCCGCCCTCCCGCGGCGGGCGGCCTCTCACCGGGTCGGTGTTGAGCGCAGTGAGCGGGGTCCGCGGCGGCGCGGCCGGACAGGTCCCGGCCGGGTGGTGCGGCGGCGCCGGCGGGGGCGGCTGCCTCAGCAGCGCCGGGTGCGTCTCCAGCGCCAGCTGCAGGTCCAGGATGTAGTCGATAACGTGCTGCAGGATCTCCACTTTGCTGACTTTCTTGTTGGGCGGGATGGTGGGCACCAGCCTCCGCAGGCGGCTGTAGCAGTCGTTCATATCGCACTGCAGGCACAGCGCCGGCTCGTCGGCCGCCGCCTCCGCCGCCTTGCAGCGCGCCGCCGCCGCCGCGGCCGCCGCGGCCGCCGAGCCGCCCAGGCTGTGGCCGTGCTCGGCCAGGCAGCGCAGGGCCAGCTCCCCTCCGCCGCAGCCCGACGGCGCCTTGCGGCCCGAGGGGCGCACCGGGCTCACCGCCTTCATCGCGCGCGCCCTGCGCCCTGCGCGAGCGGACCCGCTGCGGCGAGCGAGGGACGCAGGCAGGCTCCGGGTCCCCGCCCGCGGCCGGCTGCGCTCCCCTCGCCTTCGCGCCCGGCGCGCTCGCTCCGCGCTCGGGGCGCCGCGAGGCTCCCGGCGATCCCGCGCCCGAGAACGGACGGGAGGGTCGCTCCGGGATCTCCGCTCGGAGGGCGACGACACACTCGGCCGGGGCCAAAAAGCAAGAGAAATCAAGAGCACCGGGAAGAAGACGCAGCCCCCCGGGCTCCCCAGGCGCGCCCTTCGGACTCCGACTGCAGCCCGGCCGCCGCCGCCGCCGCGCTCCCGGACCCGGAGGCGTCCCCACCGCCCGCCCGCCTCTCGCGCGCCTCCTTTCCGCTCTCGCCGCGCCGGCCGCGCAGCTGCGTTTATAGAGCCGCGCGCCCCGGGGGAGGGGCCAGCGCGCTGGCGGGGTCGCTGCGCGGGCCGAGCGGAGCCCGGCTGGGCGCGCGGGCGGGTGCGCGGAGCGAGGCGGCGAGGGCGGAGGCTCCGGGCGGCGCTGGGGGGCGGGGAGCCGGGCGGCCCGGGCGGGCGGGTGGGCGGGGGGCCGGGAGTGGCCAGCCAATCGGGCGGACGGTGCCACCTCGGGGGGATGACGCTCGGGCCAATCGGAAGGGCACTCCATTCCGTCAACGCCGCGGGTCGGGGTTCTGAGCGCAGAGAGCCGAGCGGGAGCCGGGCCAGGCCGGTGTGCGCCCCAGGGAGGGGCGGACCGAGGGAGAAGTTCCCGGGGAGAGCTGCGGGAGCGCGCGCCTGGAATTCTCTCTCCCCCGGCCCGGGTCCTGGGGAGGGGGCGCTGCCACCCCCCGCGGCAGCGCGGCCACCGGGGACCCTCCGCCGCCCAGCACCCAGCACCCAGCCCGGGGATTCCAGCGCCTTCCGAAGGACGCCGTTCGAGAAGGCACGATCGTTCTCGTCTGCGTTTTCCCTCTCCGGCTCCCTGTTCGCCTTTTCACCGTCGCCGAAACCGTCATGATGGACTGGAATGTGCAGCCTTTCCCTTTTTCTTTTTTAAAATGGTTAAAGCTTAGCAAGAAAAAGGAAACAAGACAAAACAAAACAAGACAGCACATACACGCACACAGAAAGGAAGGGTGCCGAACGCAGATTTTTGGTGAAGGGACATGTAAAGAAAACAAAAAGCGTCCTAAGGTTCCCCCCCCCCTTTTACCCATCTAGATGCACAAGTGGGCTCAAGAAATGCAGTTGCCTGAGAGCATTAAATTAGGGCACGTAAATATTAAAAATGCATGGGCACGGAGTATTTAAAATTCCACCATGACATATAATATTAATCCGTTTTATGTAAAATTCATACCTGTAACTTAATGTAGGCCATTAACGCACAGCCTCACGTGTTGGTCAGCGTACCCCGCTTTACGTAAGATGCTACGAATGTCCAGAGTCTGCTTCATTTGCAGCAAAGCATTAAAATTCACACTTCCAGTCCCTGAAGTCCCGCTTGGACCACACCCTGCAGGAAAGTCTGTTAATTAAAGACGTTTCTGTGATGTCGCATAGAAAAGCTGCCTTTTAAAGGTTCAAATAGAATTGCACAATGACCTTTGATAGGACCTTGTGTGTGCTCATCAAGGCAAAATTGAGAAATGAACCCAAAGATTCTCTGGTCAGTGGGGTTATAAATTTTGAGTGTGTTCAGCCTGCAAACCGTCCACTTTTAGACAAGCTAGGAGAGGAGACAACTCATGAATTTTCATCTGTGTACGTGATATAGATTGTTGCCTTCATTTTTACAGAGCCTTGGGAGAATGAGCTATGGACCCTACCTCTTCCTGCTCACCCTCTGCAAGGAAGATTCCACCCTGCCCAGAACTGTAATACCTGCATCAGGCAGGTAGGTATTTTGTTTAGCCACGTGGGTATTTTATAACTATTGCATGACTATTTCCCCAGAGCACATTCCTTTTTCCTGATGAAATGAGGAGTAAGTATTTAATGCCGGTTTCACAGGAAGATGCAACAATGATCCTTATACGTTACTGCCTCTGATAATTGTTTCAAAACAAGGGACATTCTCATTGACTTATGTGCATACCTAGATGGCCCATAGACATACTTATCAAGAAAAGAATTGTAAAACCCCAAAGAAGACTTTCTTCTAAATACATGCAGAGTTTTATATATTCTTTTTTTTTTTAATTTTTTAAATGTTTTATTTATTTCTAGGAGAGAGAGAGAGACAGCGTGAGCAGGGGAGGGTCAGAGAGAGAGGGAGTCACAGACTCTGAAACATGCTTCAGGCTCTGAGCTGGCAGTCAGCACAGAGCCCGATGGGGGGCTCGAACTCACGAACCACGAGATCATGACCTAAGTGAAAGTCGGATGCTTAACCGACTAAGCCACCCAGGTGCCCCGAGTTTTATATATTCTTAATTAAAGTAAATAAACACAGAGAATAGTCATTTTAGACACAAAGTTGGGCCAAGGTGCACGAGTAGGCATTAGCTACTATCTTGGAGTTTGTGATATCAGCACAGATGATAAAATAAGTGGATATTATGTACGAATGTTTTTGTTCTATTGATTTTTTTCTGTTAGGGTTTTTAAAGAATTTTTAATGTTTATTTTGAAAAAGAGAGAGAACTAGGGGGGAGGGGCAGAGAGAGGGGGAGACCCAAAATCTAAAGCAGGCTTCAGGCTCCTCCGAGCTGTCAGCATGGAACCCGACGCGAGGCACGAACTCACAAACCATGAGACCATGACCTGAGCCAAAGTCAGTGGCTCAACCGACTGAACCACCCAGGAGCCCTCTGTTTGTTAGAATTTATGAGCTGCTCCGAAATTTAAAACCTGCAATTTTTCTCTGGCAAAGCTGAATGATGTTAATATACCCAGGGCATGCTCATTTCAAAACTTTACAGATCCCAAAGTTTGGATCTGTTTGATTAAGTTTAAAGATTAAGTTTTAAATCTGCGATGCAAAGGAACAAGCATGTCTGTCTTGTCGGACTTGGCTACATCTCAGGGAGCCATACCCTGGGTGTGACAAGTGCCAAATGCCAGAGTTTCAGGTTTTGTTGGAGCAGCTGTGTGTCACTGGCTTCACGTCAGAATAGCCGGGGTTACCTTGGAGGCTAAGTTCAAAGGAATGTACCTTGGGGCCACATGATCAAGAACACCCAGGAAAAATGGATCCCCCCAATCCGGTCAGCAGAATAGGCATAGGCAGTTATTATCTGCCTTGTTTGCGAAGGTTGGAAGACATTGAAACAATTAAACAATTAAAGGCTAGGAAAACATTCTCCAGTTGGGAAAAAAGAAAAAAAGAATCCAGTCCTTTGCTTTTTAGCCTATGAAAACTGACAGTCCTAGGGCCGAAGCAATGTGTATTTTTGATTCTTAGACACCGTCACTTGCATGACCTCCAAGCTGAAGTCACAAAAGCCTACCGTCACCGGTGGTTCAAACCAGAGTTTACTCAGCAATTATGGCATTTGGGGGAAACTTTGCAAACTGCATTATTCCTACCGTGTGGAGAAGGAAACTTCGATTCCCACAACTCTTACATCAAAATGCTTCCCTTGCCCTTGCAAGGAGCTAGAGGCTCCCAAAATGTTCCTCCAAGGGAACCTGGGGTGAAACAGTCCCAGGAAAATTGTTGGGGAGCCCCGGAGGCCAGAGTCATGTGCACACCCTTCCTCTAGACAAAGAGCTCTGTGGCCCTTTCTCGGGATGCATTCTAGATGCTAATCAGAGCCTTGCTGAACTGCAACACCCAGGGTTTTAGAATTCACAATCACCCTGTGTTTACATGAAGCGAGGGTATCCGGGCATATTGTGCTATTCAGTCCAAATGCCTTTTTAGGACTTGATACTTCTTTCCCCGTGGCTTGCAGTGAAACAGTGGGTGGGCTCAGACACGCAGATAAACCGGAGCGTTCCCATGCCTTGCTGCCCCTGTGGATGGAAATGGTCACCGAAGGAGGCACATACATTTTGTCCAGGCGCAAGGAACCAGTATGCACACTCTGCTGCAGCACTGTCTCTTGTCCCAAAGAATAAATCGGGCAGTGTGGCAGCTCATGCTCAAGGCTGCTTTATCTGACACTGACGGTTACAGGCTTCTGCCACCCTCGGACTGCTGAGACCAGTCCCGGAAACCCTGATAACCTTTCGATTTGCCCAGTCTTGGAAAAGGCTTATTATAAGAAGGGGACATTATATATTGAACATAGCCGAGGAGATGTGGCCATCAAAAATGCCTGCTTCAGGAGTTTTGAAAAGTAGTCTGCTGAAATAGGAAGTAGCTGATTTTGAGAAGAAACAGGTGTCATTGGTTTTTACCTTAGGGGATATAAAGAAAGTGGGCTTAAAAGTCAGAATGCCTGGGCTCCAATTTTGGCTCCTTGGTTTAGGTTTTATATCATGAAACTGGATTTTTAAACACCTGTGCCTTTCCTATATGAAATGACGATAAAAATTGCATCTACTTTATGAAGTGCCCGTGTATCTATATATAAACTTGTATGCAATTCTTAGAATGGTATCTGGCACTTAATTAGGGTTCAGCTTATTATTATTATTATTGGTAAATATTATTTCTCAGTCCGTGACTTGTCTTTTCATTTGGTTAACAATCTTTTGAGAGCACAAGGTTTTAATTTTGATGATGTTCATTTTATCAATTTGTTCTTTTGGTATCGTATCAAAGAAATCTTGGCACAACCCAAGGTAACGAAGGGTTTGTCCTGTGATTTGTCTAGACGTTTTATACTTTTCAGGCTGAGTTGGGTTCATGGGAACACAACTTATACAGCCACACAGGGTCCTGTGTTTAGAAGGATCCCGTGCTTGGTTTTATTCCCTGATATTACCATCTTGAAATTCTCAGCAATTTTTGAACAAGGGGGCCTGTGTTTTCTTTTTGCCTTTGACCCACAAATTATGTAGCCAGTAGTGGTTTTAGGTTTAGGTCTGTGATCCGTTTTCTGGTTATTTTTGTTATGTGGTTCAAGATGTGGATTGAAGTTTACATTGTTGCATATGAATGTCGGGTAGATCCAGCACCTTTGTTGAAAAGACA